TTCTACTTCCCATGTCTGTTTTTCTAAAAGCATATTACGTTGGTAAAGGTGTGTATTTTGGAGGCCGCACGGCGCCCGAACGACCCTCCAACATGTTGCACTTGGACGGTGTCCTGTGTGTGCACAGCTAGTACCCGAGGATCCTGGGTTCATGGATATTGTTTTAAAAGGAGCGTCTACGACCGAAATCTAGCGCGTCTTCTCGGGGAAACGGGGGGAACATTTATTTGAAGTTCGACCGGGACGTTTTTTTTTCCCTCCTTCTATTTTCCCCTTCCTTCTTTCTTTTTTTTTTTTTGAAATAGTGTGGCTTAATAGCAACTATAGGCATGAATGGCTGGTGCCTCTATAAATGAACCATTAATGGTAAATTTTATTATCTGGACCTTATAGTGTTTAAGATGATTCGTAGCTTTCTGGGTTGAAAGTTGTTTCGGTGTGTGTGTGTGTGTGGAAGGGGGGGGGGGGGGGGGCAGGGGAGAGTGGTGGTTTAAACAAACTCACAGCACATCGACAAGAGGTACAATCCTGCCTTTGGTGGAATAGTACACTATTCACCATCAGTGTTAATTTTTCTCTTAAAATATCATGTCTGATATATTTATTTTAGTGTGTCTTATCTGCCTTCCGCCATTCCTCCTTCCTTCCTTTAGCTTGACCTCAGAGCCAAGCTCTCCGCTTTCAAAAAGATACAAACACAAACGTAATCTCTAAGGAAATGGGAAATTTAGACTTACCTCTATTTGGTTCAAGTACAATGCCCTCTCTTTAATGCTGGGCCGTGTATGTAAAAAAAAACCCCACAAAATAACCTTACTTACCTTGGCGTGGTCCTGTGTACATGTACGAGAAGTGTACGTGTTGTGTCATTAAAGTAAAGCTCTTTCCTGTACCGCATGGGTATAGAGCAGTAAATGGAATCGTACTGTATAACCCGACAAACGCCAATTTTGTTTCTTTTTTGTGGGGATTGGGGTGGGGGTTGATTGTGTTTGTCCTTGTTCTGAAAGGAACACTGTGACTTTGTTAATGACTGGAGACCCTCCAGCTGTAAAGTGAAGGGCCTGAAAGGCAGAGAAGTATTACATGTAGAAAGAGTCAGGAGTGAAGGAGAGATGAGCCCGGAGGCCGGGGGCGCAGGGATAAAGTGGAGATAAAAGCAGATAGAATGTGACGAGAGAACAGTAAGTGAAATGAAATGAGAAACCTTTAAAGAAAAAAATTGTGCGTGTCTGTCAGGTTTCGAATCCGGGACCTTCTGAATTAGAGGTGAACACCGCACCTCTAGAACACGAGAGCCCTTGTATA